AGGCGCTACATTGATATGGGAATGCACAGCAAGACCTGATTGCAGACGAAACCGGTGGTAGCTTGAAGGCCAGGAAGGACTGTGTTATCAAGGGGAGGAACGCACAAGGCCACGATCCTGTGAGAAAGAAACTTGGCGCCAAAATAGAAAGGGGGGGGAAAGTAGAGGGAAACTTACACAGGCTTTTAGATTTAGCAATGCTTTGCTTCAAGCTGCATGTACCAACCAATAAAGGAGCATTTATCTGAACCAGGCCTGGTTTCACGAGAATTCTTCTAGACTGGGGTTTGGACTTTGTGGACTTGACAGCTGGCTGGGGGATTCTGGGAGTTGAAGTCCACCCATCTCAAAGTTGCTGAGGTTGAGGAACCCTGCTTTATTATGAAGGACAGTGCTTTATTTCAGAAAGCTGTCCTTTAGATTTTTTATTTTTCAAAAACTCACTTTTGCCTTTTCTTTTCATCATTTAACTTTTACTGTACAAATGATACCACTTCGTGCCCAGTCCTTCAAATTCATGTGAAAAATATGGAAATGGATTGTCTTTTTAAAATAAATTTACATAGACCGCTTGATTTTAGACATTTTTATTAGAATGTCTGGGGGGGGGGTTAGTTTTTCTTGGGTTTGCTCTTGAATTTTCCTTTGTAAAGCAAAGTTATAAACAATTAAGTTTTTTTTTATCCTTATGAACCTCTTTCAGATTTGCTGCTTTTTCAGGTTTGTCCTTTATTGTTTCCAAGAAAATATGGTCACCGTACAATAAATAACACATCCAAACCCTGAGAAGGCTGTAGACTCCCATAGCTGCTATTAAACCATAAAATAGGCCTAACGTGATTTTTTTAAAAGGCCCAAATATCCCTAAGAAAGAGCAAAGCCTCTGGATATCGGGGAGCAGTGTGGCTTTGAGGTGACTCCGATTTTCTTCCTAATTGAGCATCTCAGCTCTCCTACCCCACAGGGCTGTTATGGGGAAACCTAAGAGGAGAGAGTTCTGTGGAACCCCCTTAAGGCTCTGAAGGGAGGTGGGGTTTAAATGCAATCCACTGTTCAGCAGCTTAGCCTGGGATTTTCGGTTGGGGAGACTTTCACTGACAGAAAAGTCAAATAGGAGAAGGAGCTGTGAGTACCATATGCAAGCTTGGGTTAAAAGTATATATCAGTGCAGAAAAGCAAAGATGGTGGTGAATGGAGTGCTCTCTGCAGATTTCCAAATCGGTACTGGAACAAGGCAAGGATGTCCACTCTCTCCTATCAATGTGTTAGAAATACTGGCAGAAAAAGTCAGAGGTGATAAATAAATAACAGGCCCCAACATTCTTGGAGAGAAATACAACCTCAAATTCTATGCAGATGATGTAGTATTAACTATCATATCATGTTAAAGATAGAAAATATGCACAACCAATAACCAACCTTCCATCCTTCCTTCCTTCCTTCCTTCCTTCCTTCCTTCCTTCCTTCCTTCCTTCCTTCCTTCCTTCCTTCCTTCCTTCAAGGACCCAGATAACCTCACATGTAGCTAAACAAACATGCGTCCCTGCCTACAATCCTTAAGTGGGTGTGGGGCAGGTCCTGGGGTGCAATCCGGTTCTGCTGCCCCAAACACACCCCACTCCTGCTTTCACCCCCATACTTGCATCTGCTGCTTAAGGCTAATGCCTCCTCTGACTTATGCCAGGGCTGGTCCAAGGGGAGGAAGGGCAGGACCCTGGAATCATTAAGTTGGAAATGAGAAATGATTGACTTTATGCCCTTTAATTCTTTAAAATAACTCTCTTCCCTTTGCCTGCCCCCCCCCAGCCCCCCCCTCCTCCAACCATGGGAGCTTCAAGATAGGATTTTCCTCCAAAGGAAAAAAGAAAAAACACTGCACGGACCACATGTCTTGATAAGAATGGGTTTTATTTACACGTGGACAAGTTGAGTCAGCATGATTTCAGGGTTGCAGAAGTTTGCAGGAGAGCATGTTCAATCCACATCTAGAATGTCAGTGTTGTATTCCCCAAATTTGCTTCTTCCCAGCCACACCGAAGCTGTACTGTAAAACAAGTCCACAGCACCCCATCCTATGGATGGTACAGTCTGAACTATTTGGGATGATGGCAAGCCAGGGCCCACTGAATCCCAACCATGGGTCCAGCCAGACAAAGGATGGCTTGCAATCCTAGGGGTGCACATATGCAAGGGGTGGGGGTGGAGGTCTTCAGGGTTCCAACTGCATCTTCAGGGTTGATTTGCAGAAGCCTCTGCACCACCAGCCATCCGTTCTGCGCTGCAGGATTTAAACAGCAAGGGCAGAAAACCTGCAAGGCCAGGCAGAGAGCCTTGCCTGCATTCAAGAGCCATTCAAACATCACTTGCATTCCCAGAATAGAGACGCCCCAAGGGTCCCAAGAACTAAACAATAAACAAAAATAAACATCTTAGCTAAGGTAATTATTTTTTAATAGTAAAAAGAAACATTAGCTCTAGTTCCTTTTCTGTTTCTCTGTTCCTATAGGATGAAATCTTTGTCTTTCCTTAAACTGCCCTTTGGAACTGCACATTCCGTGGGCATCTCATATTGCAAAATCCCAAGCGCTCTCTTTCCTCCACTAAGAGGCCCTAAGAAGACGCCAAATGCAAAGAGCAGAACGTTTGACCCTCTCCTGCAATCTCTTCCCCAGCTGCTTTTCCTACGCCAAGGTTCAAGCTCAACATCTGAATTAACACAGAACCAGAGACCCTGCAGGAGAGAAAGAGCCAGGCGAGAGAAAGCCTTCCATCTGCCTCTTCCTGGCTGCAAATGATGACCTTCCTAAGTCTTTTGCAGGAAAGACGTAGCAGCTGAAACTGCAAATAATGATTAGAAAAAAGACAGTCCTGTATGCAATTTTGGCACACTCACTCTCTCTTTGCCATGCTTATTCCCTATAGCTATTCCAAAGGAACAAAACAGTTACACCTCCCTCTTCTCAAAATTCGGGCCGGCGAGATGCAATCCTGCCTAATTGTGTGATAGGATTGGGGTTAGAAACTGCAACTCAAACATCAAACCTATTGACATGACTTCTGCATACTCAGGACAAATTGGTGGCATCTCCTACTGCTTTGCACCGTATTTAGGTTTCGGCACCCTTGACCAGCTTGCCCTATCGGAAGGTGGCCACGTCCAGATTCCTCACATATTTTTCTCCAAACTCCCACGTGTCTCCCAGGAGGTCAGCCCGACATAAAAACAAGCAGTCCTTGCATCGCCGTGGCTTCCCCGGCCTCCAACAAAGCATCCTCTTCATTTCAGGAGCAAAGCTTAATATAGGTTATAGTGGAGCAAACTGAGAAAAGCGGAAACATCCTCTCTGCGAAGGCAACGTTAAAGCTAAAAATGTGTTGCATGGTGTCAGCATTGTAGAAGGACACTTCTTCTCCTTCGTAGTCTAAGTAGACTCTAATTTTAATCAGCTTCTCATTCAGGAAAATCGGGGTGCGCTGAGGGGTGGTGACCGCCCAGTATCGCCCACCATTTTGCTGCAGGGCCCAGATGCCCTCTTCAGGGCAAAACTGAGTCAGCCCTTTCCTTCGGACCGATTCCTTGGCCACTCCAAAGGCCCAGCCATCAGCAGACCCCACCTCCACCTCCCAGTAATGCCGCCCGGACTTGAACCCTTCCGTTGCCAGGACTCGAGAGTTGGTGTCAAAGCGTTTGGGGTTGTCGGGGAGATCTTGCTTTCGACAGCCCATCCGCACCGTCTTGAGATCCGAAGAGATGAGGAGGAGGTGGTTGGCTGTCTCCGGATCCAGGAGCAAGTCCTCTAAGGGGGAACACATTGCATTAAGTCAACTATTACGACCATAGTAATAGCAAGGAAAAGCAGCAGCGAAGAGCAGGTGTAAAGGCCAGCATGCCAAAATTAGAGTGCTCCCCTCTCTCACGTTGAGTATTTTGCTTTGTTTTTCTTTTTTTTAAAAAAAAGCAACTTATGCCTAAATAGAGTCGGCAAGTAAAAAGGATTTCTCTTCTTGGACCAAAGCAGGCCATTGTAAGAGCATTGGCAACATGTTTATTTTTCACTGAAATTTCTTTGCTTGATGGGAAACCCAGAGGATTTCCATCTGAACCTACCTGTACATCTCCATCTTTTTCAGAGGCCTTGTTCCACATGTTCACACTATCTATTGGACAGGGTTTGTCCTCTATGTTAGGTCATCATACCGGCACCAGAAATTGGATTGTCTTACTTCCTGCTCTATTCTTACTGATTATCAAGCTTCAGGAAAGTGGATCTTATCCAGAAAGTTTGTGGGGTTCCTTGAATTACTGAACACTTAATCATAGCTCAAATTTTAATGCCATTGCCTATGCTGGTTTGTTTTGCTTTGGTTACTGTTTTTTGTGGTGGTGTTTTTATTATGCATGGATGTTTAGAAACAAAGACTCCTAATGGTCTTCTAGTCCAACCCTAGTCAATGCAAGAAATCCATTGCTGAAACAGCACTTTTTTATCTACTTTATTTTCCTTTCCATCAAATCCAGAATAGCAACCATGAACTACTATGACTACATTCTGTTAAATTAATGGAAAAACAAAATGTCAGAGAGAAGGGCATCATTTAATACAAACCTTGAAAAATTGCCCTACCTTGGTAATAGGGAGCATTGAAAGTCTACACTTACACATTACGTGCATGATTTTGTCTCTCACAATATGTGTTTGGCTGTCAGCCTCCCAGGTAGTCCAGACAGGAAGCCCAACAAGATGAGCTCATTCTACTTTATTGTAACACTACATTAATAGAATCTTGCAAGTGTGAAAGTACAAATCTCCCATCATCTCTTTTTACAGCCTGATAAGTTAGGGTGGATCCTTTCTGAGTTTCTTCCTGTTCCCATTATGCAGCTGTGGGCTCCTCCCACCTCTTATCTGATTGTTCCCTAGGCAGCATCTCTTCCTCCCATCTCCCAAGGTCATTCCCATATACCATTACATCGGCTTATAACATTTACCTTTCTCACCTTTCCCCAGTTCATCCCGTAAATGATCTGAAAGAAGAGAACACACCGTCAGGTCTACAAGGCAACAGAAAGCAGTTTCGTCTAAACACCTCGAACCCAGCCTTCCTCAATCTCAGATGCTCCATACGTGTTAAGTGTGACTCATAAGAATATAAGAACAAGACCAAGGGCCATCTTACTGTAGCATTTGGTTTCTCCAATGGCCAGTCAGATGCCTCTGGGGCTCTCACAAGCAGGGGCAGACATGAGCCTTTCTCTGTAATACTTCCTTGGTATTTGCTGGCAGACTGCCTTCAAGCCACAGATATAAGTCTTCAAAACTAAAAGCCCTTGGTAGACTGTGGTACAAATTTATCCAACTCCATTTTAAAAGTAGCCATCATTATGTCTTTTGGGAATGAATTCTACAGATTGATATCTCCCAGCATCTTGGCCAACAGATAATATCATTTTCAGGCTGGCAACCATAATATCAGGAATAAAGATCTCTGGCCCAGTTTCAAGGGCAACCTTAGGGATTCCCCATCTATCTACAAAAGCTTCTTGAGCACCACTCTCAGGGCCAGACCACTACGTGCTCCATGAGAATGGTGTGTGGCAAAAATGGGGGGGGGGGCGCTATCCTGTTGTAAACCTTATCAGTAAAGTCAGACAGCTGGGTGTCAAGTTAGAGGTATAGGATTTTGTTACTAATTGCTTTACTAATATGATTTACTTATTTTATTTACTTTAATTACTTTACTATTAAGAGTTATAAAAGGATAGTCCTCCAATCTATGTACTTTCTTTTGCATCATGCTATATTTGCAACATAATTGTAAATATAGCATGTATGTTGATTTTATAGTACTTGTGCAATTTTCACTCTTTTAGCTTAAGTGTTAATGTTAATTGTAATAGGACAAAATTGTTGTTGATTTCCTTTTTTCCATCCATAGACATATATGGAACAATCACGTAGCTCTTGTTGTTCTCTGCCAACATCAGAGTTTCCATACCTCAGGTTTCTTTAGATGCTAAAATAATTAGATTTACACAGCAAGTATTCTTTTTCTTTACCTCTGAACTTCTTAAGCACTCCCTTGAGAGCCACCGTCTTCAGAGAGAAGTTGGAGACGTGGCCTTTCATGTCAGAAGAAACTGGAATAGGCTTCTGACATTTGACATTGTCACTTCTAACAAAGAAAGAAAAAGAAGGATGTCAGGACTGATAGCTGTATTATCCCAAACTTTCCCTTATAGTTCAAGACAATTGGCAAGTTTGAGGTGTCAACAGCCTGTGTTTCTCACCTGTGCTATTGATCTGAGTGGAAATTTAATGGCAAAAAAAGAGGGGAAACATTTGTAATGCACACAAGCTCTCTGGCTCCAAGTAAATTTTCACATTTTGCATTACGAAGTAGAGCAAAACACCTGCAGATAGATTCTTCAAGGACATGTACTGGTCTATTTCACACTTCTGGGAAGGAAAGGTTGAAATCATCTGAATCTTTAAGCTACCCTTCCCCCAGCTTGGTGTTTGTTGGATTGACTGATTAAGTAACATCAACTTGGGGGGAGACTCTTAGGAATCACATGGATAGATTTTCTCCAGGATGACCCAACTTGGGGCCCTCCAGATACGTTAAGAGAATAATTCCCAGAATTTCATTCCCGCAAAGGCAGTTCTGGAAGTTCTGAAACACATCCCACTTGTTTGGGAAGGCTGGCACAAGACAACAGTGCAAACCCCTTTTCAGGTTGATAGATGCATCTGACCTGCTAATGGACAGCAACACTCCAAAAAGTGGGTAGGGTCAGGGTAAAACTGTGTTGAACTTAACTTCATGCGAATTTAATTACACCCACATGTTTAATCAGTTTCCCCTCTGTCACATTAAGAATTACAGTTTAGTGGCAATTTTCACTGGGGTTCCGGAAGCCACATACTAGGGTTTGTGGAGATAGGACAAGTTGGACAACCTTAGTCAAAGCTCCAGCTTTGAGCTGGAGTGAACTCAAGCTCCCTGAATAAATAGAAATAACTCTTCTCACCCCCATCTTTCAATCTGGCTCCTACTAGTTCCACTGCTTATATTGATGAAGGAAACCTAAGACTTTCAGAGCAGAAAAGTATCTTATTTCCATACAAATAAATCAGCAGCAGCCTAGGATTAATCCTGATCCAAGAGGGCTGGGCCACAGCGTGTCTTTGAGACCATATTTCTCCAAACAGCTGTCACTGACCTTTTAATTCGTTCATGCACAAACAGAAAGAGAGGGTGGAAATGCAGCTTCATACCTGGCAATAGTAGTTGTCACATCCTACAAGGGAAAGAGGAAAAAAAGAACAGAGGATTGGGGAAAGAGATGTCCTTGCCTTTTATACTACTAGTTGGGAGCTCCACTCATCATCCAAGAGTCTTTTGATGGTGCCACCAAGAAAGGAGGCCTGGCTGCAATTAACTAAGCCCTTGGCTGCCTTGGTAGTGGCCCCACTGCTGTGGAATTCCATCCTCACTGAAGTACAGGTAGTCCTCATTTAGCAACCACAATTGGGACCGGCAACGCAGTCATTAAGTAAAGCAGTCGCTAAGTAAAATTGCAACTGTCCCTATGATCTTCAGCTTTCCTTTGGTTTACAGACCTGTGAAGGTCATAAATGCAAGATTTGGTCACAAAGTTACTTTTTCATCACTGTCGTAACTGCGAATGGTTGCTAAATGAGGCAGTCACTAAGCAAGGACTACTTCTTCGCTGTCATTTATTACTTTTAAATGTAGTCTGAAAACCTGTTTTTATAAGCTGGCATTTCCTTCCTGAAGTTCTTTGAACATTATGTAACGACAGCTATTTTTAATATTCTGATATCCTGCTTTTATAATGATTGATTTCTAGGTCTATTCATTTTCACTAAAGGTTGCTTTTATTTAATATTGTAAACCACTGCAGGCTGGCTTTGCCAGGCACATACAAACAGAAATTTGAAAAATGAATAACTAAATGATAAATTTGCCTTATTTCTCCTTAGCCTTCTCACTTCGTGCTTCTCACTTCGTCTGCATTTCAGGAATTATCCTACACTATGGCTGCATTTCTAACGCATGATGCTGACAGGGGTCTCACATCCCACCACCACCACCCTCCACCTTCATCTCAGAAAGTTCTTGCATGCCATACAATACACTAGTTGCAACAGCTGTCCATCAAAATCTGTAACATATGCAGAATATATCATGTAACACATGCAGAATATATCATTTCGAGGAATGATATATTCTGCTTCACTGCCTATAGTTTGGCTTATGAGATCAAAAATTCTGTAATGAAAACATAATTTAAATTTCTTCTTCTTCCAATCTATATGTGTTGGCCACTAGTGCACATGGTGTGGGCTATTAGCAGGTTAGTCTAGGACCAGAGAGAGTCCTGGGTTCAATCCTCATCCAGACTGAAAGTTCATGACATGATATGGGACCAGCTGCTGCATCTCATCCTAACCTACCTTACCAGATGACTGTAAGCGTAAAAGCAACAGGGAAGAGTTCAGTCAGAAACACTACTTTTTAAAAGAGGGGTGGGATTAAAAAATATATTATCTACCACATAATCAATATTTGCCTTGAGGAAGACATGTGGCTTAGTCAATGGATCATGGAAAGCTTTCTGTAAAATTCCTGAAAAAGTGAAACCAGCTCAGCATTCTCTGAAGTTGCCCTGAAGTCAGATGAACGTTGACTCTCTCCTCAGAAAAAGGCTGCAGAATGATCAATACACCTCCCACTCCCCACTGCCCAGATCACCACATCTTCCCACCAAGATCCTTAAGTACAGTAAGCTACGAATAGATACCAAGCACATTTAAGGGGACCTTAACCTTAATTTCTCAAGTGCTACCGTCTCCAGAAAAGAATGTGGCAGTCTTTAAATAGTCATAAGAAATTCTATAGTATGGAAACATCAGGTGTAACATGAGAGTAGTAGTCATGGCCAAAACCAAAGGCCAGGGAGAACTGTTTTTTTTTTGCAACTTTCAAGTGACAGAGAAAGAAGGATTTACCTTGAATAAAGACAAAGAGTCACTGACCTATATTTGAGAAGGCTGTTGAATTAAAGTCTCCATGAAGGGCAAGACTAAACTGGTTTTTAGTGTCTCTTGCTACTGTACTTTTAATAACAGCTTGATTTATAGATAAAAGCAAGCAATCATAGTTGTTTCCAAGCTGCAGACAAATTTTTTCTATCAGTTCTGCACTTCCCAGAACTGTTACAACATTAGAAAAAGCTGGCCCTAGTTCATGGACATACAAAAAACTCAATTCATTTAAATCAGTGTTTTTCAAACTTGGCAACTTTAAGATGAGTGGACTTCAGCTCCCAGAATTCCCCAGCCAGCATGTTATTGTGGTGTATTGAGTAAACAATAGCTGGGTTTGCACAAGATCCAGTGATGTGCAAATGCAAAAAGGCCTGACTTTATACAAAATGTCTACAATGCTTGTCTGTTGTTAAGTCTTACCTTGAGGAAATCAAGCAATGGTTCCTGGACTTTGTCCTCCAGATCAGCAATGAATTTGTTGAGGAGGGAAATTTCCTTGGATAGCTCTGTGATGTTTTCATTCTGTCTTTTCATGATGCCCTTCTCCATCTTGTCCAGCTGACCAAGGAGAAGCTGTTCTTGCTCATGAAGAAATTGGCGTAGCCCTTCAAATTCAGAGAGGACCTTCTGTCTCTCGGTTTCTATGGTTTTCTTTTTGAAAAGTCAAAGAAAGAGGGTGTGGAAGCAGAAGGACCATTACAGTATCCCTAAACAATTATCACTGGGACAGACTTCTCAAGTTTAATCACCCGCCATGCCTTGCCAGCTCCCAATGCTATTGAAGAGCGCCAGTGTGAGAAAGACTAGCCTAAAACTAGAATATTATCCCATTGATGCTAGGCTATGAAGAAGACAATAGGGTAAAGTTATTATTATTATTATGGGGGAGAAGAAATTTGGGCTGGTGTAACTGCATACATGGGATACCAATGGGGTGACAAAAGTTGGCCCCATACACATTTATTTATTTTATTTTATTTATTAATCAAATTTATACACCGCCCATCTCACTGTATAAGTGACTCTAGGCAACTTAACAAGTAAAAAAGAAAGCTATAAAAATCTTTACAAAAATATACAAAGTTAAAAGACAGAGAGAACGTCCTCAAGCCACCAACCAACCCCAGTGCTGTGAGCCCCCATTGAATCCACCTGTTAGTTGACACAGCCAGGTCTTGAATGCTCTTCCAGAAGGCCAGACGAGTGGGAGCCAACCTCACCTCGGGGAACAAATTCCCCCTTTTGCTCATCTGAATGTAAGAGTTTTGCCTTCTGGCTATACACACAGTGCCAGGTTACAGTGCTGTACACTCAACGTATAGCTGTGCCCCTCTGAAGGGTTGTTCTGAGAAGTTATGATCTGTGCGCAGAGCTGTAAAACGTATCTTGAGAAATCCAGACATCAGCTCCAGACTTCAAGATTTTTTTTCTTTTAAAATCCACCTCTTTATTATTTAATATTACAGGAGCATTATCAGGATAGAGACAATGCTGATTTGTTCAACCGTTTCTAATAAAATTCAAGAAGCAGCTAGAATGGAGCCAAATATCAAGAAAGTGTTCTACAGTTCACAGTTGTGAAAGATAATGGAGAGAATAGCAAAATAATATAATAAGAAGTATACTCAACAGGTAAATGAAAGGAAAAGCTTTTTTCCCCCCTAATAGTTAGCTTTTAAATATTTGCAGTTCTCATCTTTGTGGCTTAGGTGCTCTTTGACAATTTTGTTTTAAAAGGTATTTCTCCTTCAGACAGAGCACTGGATTCAGTTTTTGCTTATAGCAAAAGAGTATGGTGGCACCATAAAGGCTAACAGATTTATCACAAGGGATAACCTTTTGTAGAGATTGCCAAATCAATCTCTACTTGATTGACTAAAATTGACAGGAATAATAAATAGGTTCATCTAACAGAAGCCAGCCAGGAAGTTTGTTTAAACATCTGGTGAGTTCTATTCAAGAAAATACCTAACCCTAACCCTGACCAAAAACACTCTTATCTTTTCATATTGGGGTAATATGTACAAAGGCTCTCCCTCCATCCAACACAGATCTTTCTGCTATTCTTTAAAGCAGCCCCCCTTCTTTTAGGCTTCCACATGAACCTGAAAAAAAGATGTGGATACTTTAATAAGTTGATTGACTAAAGTTAATGGGGCTCTTCAAACATGAAAAAAGAGGCTGCTTTAAGTAACAGCAGATGGATACTGTGTTTGCATGAAGTCCAAAACAATGCCCCAATGTTTGAAGCAAGCACAACTCTAATTTATATCATGCATTTACGTCCTCAGTCAGTTTTAACTTCAGATGGGTGCAGACAACATGTATTATAGATACTCTGTAGGTAGAAAAGCAAGATACAAACTGAATTCTATAAATAAAGGGTTCTCACAAGTTTCCAGTCTGATGGGAAGCTCTCCGGCAGGATGTTGATATATTATTCTGCTTACCTCCTGTTTTTCAAAGAACTATTAGCAGCAGATATGATAAAGTGACATGCTTTTTGCTTCTCCCCAGCATGTGGAAATAGGGACACACTGCTTCTGAACATGGAAATCTCATTCTTGGTCCTGTGGTTGTGACATTAATAAACTTAATCCTTCTTGGTTTCTTCAAAAGTCTTACAGAATCACATACCTGCATCTGACTGAACGATGCTGAGCAAGTTTGCCAACTTCTGAGTAACAACAGGTACCTACCAGAAGTTCTTGGCTCTTCTTGTCATCCTGTGTTTTGAATTCCAGGAGCCCTTGTCTCTCTTTTTTCAAAAAATCCAAACGAGTCTGAATTTGTTCCTAAGGTCCAAGGTATACCATTATTTTTTTTAAAGTTTCCACAATTTTGAGGCAATCAAGATTTGTCCTGCTGAGAAAATTCTATGCATCCACAGGGGAAACTAAGAGTCTATGAACAAGTGTTATGGAGCCCCTGGCTACTATGATTTATATCCTTATCACCACAAAATTAAATGGCATATTCTATTGTGTTACTCTTATTTATTGTGTAACATTTTACTTTTATTTCAATATGTTGTTATAAGCCACTATGAGTCTAAAAAATTCAGCACGATACGGAAGGAAGGAAGGAAGGAAGGAAGGAAGGAAGGAAGGAAGGAAGGAAGGAAGGAAGGAAGGAAGGAAGGAAG